TGCAACTATCGAACAGTAATAATCCCTTCCTATACCTAAGAGGATTTTTTTCAAGACTGAAATTACACAATGCTTTTTAGACTGACATTATAGGTTCCCAGAAGGAAGGGAATTCCAGACGCATCTAGACCTGGAACTCCAACTTTCAAGGCAGCAGTGGGAACTGCACAACCTTTCCCCTCATAGACCACCAGCATCTAACTGCTCAAACTGTCCTGCCCTACCCACCCACAGGACTACACTGTGAGCTATGTGTTGAGGCTGGGGGCCCAGGCCAATAAGCTGGTGATGGGTATCCCCACTTTTGGGAGGAGCTTCACCCTGGCCTCTTCCAAGACAGATGTGGGAGCCCCGACCTCAGGGCCAGGAATACCAGGCCGGTTCACCAAGGAGAAAGGGACCCTCGCCTACTATGAGGTATGAGCTGGGGAGAAGGTAAGATTTCCCGGGGCACCCGCAGCCCCGGGGAAGGTGAGCCTCCCACCCCACCCACACTTTACTCCTTTGGAAATTAAAAAAATTGTTCCAGCAGACCTAGCACTCTGGAGAAGAGGGAGGAGGAGGCCAGGCACATCCTGTCTGCACCCACTCTGGCCACCAAGCTGGGGCCTTCCTTCTAGCCCAGGAAAAAGCAATGGCCAAGAGGTAGGTTCTTTTGTTTCGGCCCATCCTCTGCTGCTCTGTCCTTCCTTGGGCCGGTCCGCAGTGTCAAAGCACGATTTCCCACATCCCTGTTTAAGGTGCAGGAAGCTAATCAGAGCCCCCATAATGCCCTCAGGTTACAGCAGCTACCGAATCCTGGGATCTTTGCATCTGTTTTAAGTAAAGTTGTGTGAAGCCTGCAGTCTCTAGGGGAAGATGTAGCCTGCAGGAAGAAGCAAGGGGCTGAGAGATTTGGACTGTGGCCCCTGGTGACCTGCAAAATCTCAGCACAGCTCCCCACACCACCTCTGCCCTGTTCTCTGCTCAGATCTGTGACTTTCTCCGCGAAGCCACGGTCCATAGACTCCTTGGTCAGCAGGTCCCCTATGCCACTAAGGGCAACCAGTGGGTGGGGTATGACGACCAGGAGAGCGTCAAAAACAAGGTACGTACCTAAGGCCACACCCCAAGTTGAAGAGGGGGAGGGAAGCCCCCTGCACTGAGGGTGGGGCTTGGCTACAGAGGTGTTTGGGGTCTCAGGTGTCTGCTTTTCTCTCCCATGGGGAGGTGTTCAGATAGCATGCCCCCCCATAAGCACCCTGGCCCAGGGAACCCAGCCCTGCCTGCTCTGGGTCTCCAGAGCAGGTGCGGTACCTGAGGAACAGGCAGCTGGCTGGCGCCATGTTGTGGGCCCTGGACTTGGATGAATTTCATGGCAACTTCTGCGGAAAGAATCTGTACTTCCCTCTCACCAATGCCATCAAGGATGCACTTGCTGAGGTGTAGCCTTTGGTTCTTGGGCACGCAGTGGGGCAGAGATCACTTGGCTCTGACTGGCTAGGAGCCTGATCACCTGCCCTGCTGGGTCCCCTGTTGAGCTTCTGTCTCCCTTCCTTGGGCCCATGCAGAGGGCCACAGCTCTGCCATCTGAGCTCAGCTCTGGTGGACAGGTAGGTAAGAGTGGGGCTGTGGGACCAACACAGTGTAAGACATGGGGTCAGCACATAACTGCTGATTAAGGAGAATGCTCAACAACTCCAAGCCCCACACAAGGAGATTTCTTCAGCTCCCTTACCCCCAGGCCTCTATGCCTAAGGACACCATTTTGGCAAGCTCTACCACTGCAGAGTGAAATATCTTACAAGAAGCAGCAACCACACTAATTATATCCTCTGCAAAGCCCAACTTGAAACCTTTACTCAGGAACATAATCATGTCCCCATTCCACTTCCCTTTCCTGATTCTGCAGCTGCTCAATAAAGCACTGGGGCTCGCCAGTTATTAGCGCTTGCTTCAGTCTATCTTTGCGGTCCCACTGGACCCACAGGGCTCACCTCCCCCATCTCTTCTGGATTCCTCTCTCTCAGGCTTGGTAGTCCTGAGCTGCAGAAAGTGAGACCACCCTGTCCTCTGCCGGGCCCCAAGAAGTCCCCAAAAGAGGCAAGCATCGCCAGACCCATCAGTCATGGACTTAACCCAAGAGGGCTGATGGGCTTCCAGATCTTAAAGTCATTATCGTCCAGACTTCTCAATACAGTTCCTTGTTGAAAGAAGCCTTTTCTGTTTCCAGGGGCTAGCAGGCACTAGGAAGGAAACCCTTTAACACCAACCCTTCATCTCCTCTCACCTTGGGGAGGTGTAGGAGCCAACACAGGGTCAGGTTAGAGAGAGCCCTGACCCTGGACTCTCAGGGCTAGAAGGAGACACCTACATTATCTCACATACCCTCCCTCCGTCCCAGGCCTAGAGTCTCTACAGGGCTTGAGCCTTCCAACCTGCCCCCACACTCTCAGTGACCAGTTGCTCATTACCTTAGAGGAACTCTTTCCATTGCTGGACTGAAATCAGTCAGATGTCCTAGGGCTGTAACCCAGCCCTCTGTCTCTCCCCTCTTGGGACATAGCCCTCAGCCCATGCAGAAACCAAGACTCCTCAGCTCAGCCTGGGACATGAGGTGGGGGCCAGATGGGACAGGATGGGTCAAACGGGATGAGCTCAGATCAGCCAGCCTTCCAGCCTTTATGAAGTAGAGATGTCTCAGCAGTTTCTGTGAACTCCCAGAGCCCCAAACATGCCTTGTATCCAAAGAGAGTTCAGCTGCATGCTCCAAAACCAAAGAGAAATTATCTGTGGATTCCCTGATGTTTGGATTATCTGTGACTTGGCCTAGTGGTTTGTGACACTGGTTTGAGGTGTCGGGAAGAAAATACCTATCGGCCTTCCTGAAATCTGAACCAGCTGGAGCGGGGCAGATGCAACTGATCTCAAGGTCACTGCCAAGCTAAAGGAAAAGAGAGTGAGAACTTGGCCAGAGCTTCAGGGGTACCTGGCATTTCACCGCTGGCCAGTGGGCCAAGCATTCCCTAATCCCTGCGCACTGCCTACTCTACCACACAGGGGTCTTTGAAAAGCCAGGGGCTGTGAGTCCTCCAGGGAAGTCAACCCCCACCCTACCTCCCCTGGCCACCCTTCCCCCATCCTGAGACAGTCTCTGGAGGGCTGACTCAGGGTCCTGCAGAGTTAGTCACATTCACTTATAGCTGCAGAGTCAGAGGCCAGGGATAGAGATCGGGTCTCCAGTCCTGGAGGACTGCCCAGCAGGACACTGAGTCACCCGGCAGAGGGCACGGGCACCCAAGCAGGGCAGGATCTGGAGGCTTCCCAGGCCCTCCACTGCCTCTCCCCAAGAAGGACAGCCACTGGTGAGAGGTGGCCACACTCCTGTGCCCCCAAGCCCCGGGGCATGAGGAGAGCATGCACGCCACTGAAGGCCCTAAATAAATTACATGTGTATTGATTTTTAAATTATGGGATATATCATACAAGCTAAAGAGTGCATAAGATGTATTTGTTTAATTTAAAGAATTACTATATAGTGAAAGCCTGTGTAACCACCACCCAGGATGGGAAATGAGACCTCATTAGTGCCCCTGAAACTCCACAGTCACATACATCCCTGTCCCTCTGCCCAGAGGTAGGCACTATCCTGACCTTCCCTGCTTTCTTTTGTGGTCTCACCCGCTAGAGACGCCCCTTGAAGAAGAGAGCTGGTGCTCCCCGTGCTTGAATTGAATATGAAAGGGGTCTCATCGCTCTCTGTGCCTGGCTCCTTTGCTCCCCGTTATGTCTGTTAGATCAACCATGTAGCTGAAGTTTGCTCATTTTATTCCATTTTTGGTTTAGAGGGGCACATACATGTCACAGTTATTTATGCATTCCCCTGTTGAGGGAGAGCTGTGTTCTCCAGATTTGGTGTTACAAACAATGCTGCTGTAAATGTTTGCATGCATGTCTCCTGGGGCACTGGTGTGAGAGTTTCTGGGGGTGTAAATGCTGGGTCATAGAATTTGCACATTTTCAATCTGACTAGATACCGTCTCACTTTTTCCAGAGATTGCTCCCATCTACACTCCCACCAGCAATGAGAGCTCTTGTTACTTTCCCTCCTCCCTGACACATGTTATTTTCAGGCTTATTAAATCATTCCCAATCTTACCGTTTTATTGGATGAATGACTCAATGACTAGGAATTTGGTTGTACCTGCCTCATTTCCCCGTGGCATGCAGATGTCCTGCTTCGAAGAGTACAAGTCTCAGAGTGCTGTCCTCCTCCAAGGTCTCTTCCAGACCTGTCTTATGACTTGACTTTACCCCCAAGGGCTAGGGGACTGTCATAATGTTCTCTGTAACAGATGGGGAACCTGAGGTCCAGAGCAGGGATTGGAGAGGCTGGGTAACCAGGGGCCTTAGACTCCCTTTCTGGGGTCCCATTGCTAGAAGACCTTCCTCCAATCAGGCCCACCTTGGGCATCCCAATTCCCTCCCTCTCTAGGCCCTCAACCTCATACAGCACAAGTGAGAATTCCCAGGGAATGTGAGGACCAGGGGAGTGTGGGACCCCAGGGACAAAGCTGGGAGTGCTCCCAAGAGAATGCTGTTTCCAGGCTGTCTGGAACCCCAGCACCCAAGCTGAGAAGCCCTGGGCACAAGTGGTCCCCCAGAGGCCAAACACACAGAGCCTGATCTGGGTTCATTCTCCAGATGGAAGCTCTTGTTCCCGTTGCCCTGACCCCTGGCGCAGGCTCCTGGCAATGTCCCATCTCACCGATCTGTACCCTCCCCCCATCTGGGCACCAGAACCCTGCCTGCTGAGATCCAATCAGGGTGATGGACGAGGTCGTGCACTCCTCAAGGGACCCTTGCAGTCCTCCGCCAGAGCTATTCCTGGCTTCAGCGCCTCCCCACGCACCCCCCCAGTCCCCCTGCCTGACCTGACCCCACAGCTGGGAATCATTTCCCTGGGGGTGGGGCAGCCCCCTGACTATATAAGCCGGGACCTGGGTGTCCCAGGCACCCTGGAAGCACAGAGCCTCCAGTGCTGCAACCTGCGCCCTCCAGCCCGACCCTCCAGCAATCCTTGCAATGAGAGGAAAATCCACCTGGGAAGCCCTTGCCTGTGGTCCGGAGGAGACTGCCTCTGAGTCTGCAAATGTGCCCACCACAGAGCCCTCTGGAGAAGTGGCAACACCGAAGTCTACCGGGGAAGAGCAGGCTCCCAAGCCACAGGAGCCTGCCCCTCAGGCACCTGCCCCCGCAGCCTCTAAACCCGCACCTCCAAGCGAAGGTGACAAGAGGCGGGGCAGGTGGAGGAGGGAGGCAGCCTTGGTGGAGAGTGGTGCGGGGAGAGCTTTTGGCTACAAACCTCTTTATCTCCCCCTGCTTCTCCCTCAGATGTCCCCAGTGCCCCGCTGCTGCTGGCTGTGGAGGACGTGAGTGACAGCTCGGTGACTGTGAGCTGGGAACCCCCGGAGAGGCTAGGGAAGCTGGGGCTCCAGGGCTATGTTCTGGAACTCCGCCGAGAGGGAGGTGAGCTATGGGCTAAGCCCTGCATACACCCAGGGGAGGTGGGCTTAGAGGGCAGCAGGGACAAGCCCCCAGACTCTGAAGTTGGGTCAGTCCAAGGGGAGATACAGAAGGAGGGAGAGGAAGCAGTCCGCTCAAGCCACTCACACACAGCTTCTTGCTCCACCAACGCACCTCTGAAAGCAGGAGGATGTCCAAAAGGCCTTAGGAGGCCCCCTGTCCTCCAGCTCCAGGAAGCCTCTGAGTAACAGAGATAAAAGGGTAGGTGACAGTGGGGCACTCCTCTGTGAGAATGAAGGAGGTGGTAAGTCTCAGAGGACCCTGCTTGAGGAGGGCAAGCAGGAGGTGGAGAGCAAAAGAAGCTGAGGGGGAGGGTAAGTTGTAAACGACAGTGAGGAGAAATAGGGGATGGGCGGCTCTGGCCAAATTTCTCATGCCAGCATCCTGTTATCCACCTCTGTGGCAGTCAAGTTCAGCCTGGCCTCTGCCTTTGTCCTACCTTGCTGTGTGATTTGGCAAATGTGTCCAACCCTCTCTGGGCTCCGGCAAACCCATCTCTGGCCACCACTCAAGTGTTCTAACATCAGGTGTCTTTGATGCCATTTGACAACAAGAAGTCAGGGAGGCAAAGGGAAAATAAGTCCCAGAAAGGGAGGTCAGCTTCCTCAGATCATCAGTGAGAAGGGAAGCCCCACTGAGAAGGGTGTCCACAGCCATGGAGCCAGGGCCTTGTACTCTCTTCATTTCTCTCAGCCTTGGAGTGGGTGCCCGTGAATTCCCGGCCCATGATGGTGACCCAGCAGACCGTGCGGAACCTGACTCTAGGTGACAAGTTCTTCATACGTGTGGCTGCAGTGAGCTCTGCAGGGGCTGGCCCACCAGCTGTGCTGGACCAGCCTGTCCACATCCAAGGGATCATTGGTAAATCCTGCTCCCCAGCCCTTCCCAGGCACCTTATCTAATGGATGGAGAAACTGAGGCCAATGGGTAGAGCGAACAGGGCAGTCATTCCCCCCATCCCACACTCACGTGCACAAGCCACCTGCTATCGCCATTCTGCCTTAAGAAAGTCCCAGGTTCCTCAGCAGCAAGGGGCCTCTAGAGGTCAAAGAGGCCATTTCCCTGAGTGACCCAGCCCTCAAGCTTCCTGACCTCCAGAAGTGAGAGCTCAAGCTCCCCAGGTCACCTGCCTCAGAGTCCCAATGCTTAAGAGTCATTTCATTCTTCCTACCTAATCTTAATTCCTTCAGCAGCCATGGAAGCTCATTTTCTGCTCATTTCATATGGCCTGAGTTCCAGATGGGAGTCTTTGCTTGCCTCTTGCTGCACCACGTCCCTAGTGGGAAGAAGATTAATGCCTTACAAAAGGCCGGTGAAGGTTTCTCCATCCCCAGAGGCCAGTGCTGCCCTGGGAACCTGGGATGCCAACTGCTGTCCCCTTGCTAAGATTTCTATTTGTAGGGTGCATTAGCCTCAAGCCCTCCCAGGACTGATCAGGTTTCAGTCTGTTAATGGCAGTGAGTCATTTGGTCTGATCCAAGGTTTCTGGGGACAGCCCAGAGCCCCAGGGTGACAAGAGACATAGGCCAGCAGGTGGCCTGAGGCCTTCTCCACCTTTCTCCTTGTTCCCCCCTCCTCATCTTGACCCCATAATTCTGGACAAGGCCTCCAGACAGAGGGGGTTTCATGGCCACAGAAGGGGGTCAAGTTTGGATTCAAGGAAATATTTTTCAACTCTAAGGCCTGAGAGATGTGGGCACCAGAGGGTTGGGAGTGTAGAATTGTAGACTGTCACGGCTTGTCCATCCAAGCCAAGCAGGTCCAAAGGCACCCAGGACTCCCTTGAGGTCACCTAGCCTATTAGTGGCAGTCCCAGAACCTGACTCCCACACAGGACAGTTCATGTCTTACCAGGCAGCAGGGAGTCTTTTTCTGGTGGTTTTCAAAACCAGTGGACTTTCCCCTCCTTTGAGTCTTGGTGAGACATGGTGCCACCTGGCAGCTCAATATGGACTCATTGATTCTAGCCTGGGAGTGCCAGGAAGCCCTCCTTGTTGGGGAGTGGGGTTGGTGGGCATCCTGGATCTTTCCTGAGGGCCCAGGGATCTCAGACTCTGAGAGCCTGCAGGGGTCAGGGTCCTCTACTTCAAGGCCTAAGACTGGAGGAGTCAGCTAGACTCAGCGCCCTCTACTCCATTAAAATTCCTCTGGCAGGAGAGAAGGGGATTTCCTGGAGAGAAGAGGGGAGGAGGCTGTGAACAAACTGGGAGCAGCCAGCCAGGTCCCCCTCATGGGCAGGGCAGGGTGAGGACCCTGTCCAGAATCCTCAGCTGCTCAGCTGTCCCTCCTCAGCCACCTGGAGCTGCCAAGCATTCCTGGCCCCCTGCAGCTGCCCCTGGAACATTCCACGCCTGATGCTCCCAGGGCCAAGTGACTGCACAGCTAATCCTCAGAGACACCGTGTTCCTTCTGTCTCCTCCCTCTCTGCCCTGCGTGCCACTGACCAACTGCTGCCACCTGTTTGCCACTGAGGAGCCTCAGCCACCACCACCCCTACTCCCGCCCAGGGGGATAGTGGCAGGGGCTGTTGCAGCTTCCCTTGGAATGCCCAACAGTTTCAGTGGTTGCACCTGATTAGGTGATATAGTCAGGAAGGTGGTTCTCTACCGTAGCATGGGGCTGAAGTAAAGTGTCAGGAAGGACTTCCCCACCGCAGACTGAAAGGTAGTGGTAGGAGTAAGAGAGAAGGAAGGGGGTAGGTCTGCTCTGGCTTCATTTAAAAAGGGAAAGATCCCAATCCTCCCATATGGCTTGGAGACAGAACAGTGGGCAAATGGGTCGCACAGGGGCTTCTCTGAAGGCTTGAGCTGTTCAAAGCAGAAGGGCAGAGGGACTGGGAAGACAGTGTTGCCACCCTTCCAGGGAATGCAGGCCCACAGGTGCAGCACACGCTGCCCACCAGGGGGAGCCAGGGAGCCAGCTGGGGCCCATCTGGAGCCCAGGAATACCAGAGCTGCAGGGCAAATCCCAGCCTGGCAGGGTCAGGGCACCAAGGGAGTGCCGGGGATGCCTACCAGTTCACACCGTGGAGGCCCTGCCCTCCTGGAACCTCCTGGCTCTCAAGTCCCCAAGGGACTCAGGGGATTTGGGTCCCTGGATCTGGGGAGTGAGCTTTGCCCTGTCCACAAGGAGGCAGCCTCAGAGCACACTCAGGAGACCTCCTGCCCGGCCAGCAGCCTTCTCCAGTTGTCCCCTGCCCCTGCCACAGAAGCCTCCAATCAGCAGCCCCCCTGCTGTGCTAAGCCTAGCCTCTCGCTTTAATGCAGAGGCTCCCAAGATCCGCGTTCCCCGCCACCTTCGTCAGACCTATGTCCGTCAGGTGGGAGAGATGATTAACCTGCAAATCCCCTTCCAGGTGAGTATGCCTCCTGCCCAGGATAAGAGCTTGGGTGAAATAAGGGCCCCCGTGTGAGGTGTATTAGAGGAGCCCAGGACATGTCAGGATCCCCGTGGAGGTCTGCCTGAGACCCACCCACCAAGATGGCCTCATCCTTCCTCTGTTGTACACATGACTCAGTTGTGGTTCTCCAGCCGGTGAACAGGACAGGTGGCCCCAGGGCTGGCTGGACATCCGGAGAATGAGGCTCTAGGCAGCCCCTGTGGCTCTAGCCTCTGATGCCCCTGCTTGGAAGGGCCAATGGGGCCAGCTCCCCTGGCACAGGGATCCCTGGAGCTGAGTGGGTGTGGGGGTGCTGGCGCCTTCTGCACTCACCTTGAGGGCTCCTCCCTCCCAGGGGAATCCCAAGCCTCAGGCCTCGTGGACCCACAACGGTCACGCCCTGGACAGCCAGCGGGTGAGTGTGCGCGCCGGGGACCAGGACTCCATCCTCTTCATCCGCTCAGCCCAGCGCTCCGACTCAGGCTGCTATGAGCTCACTGTACAGCTGGAAGGCCTGGAGGCCAAGGCAGCCATCGACATCCTGGTGATCGGTATGGGGCCAGGGGAGTCAGGCCTGACTTGCTGGGGACCCAGAGACCTCACCTCCTGCCCCAGAACTGATGGCCAATGGGGTCAGGCCAAGAGAGAGTGATAAGAGCCAGATCTTGGGTGGGGGGATTTTGCAGCAAGCCCAGCCCTCCCCCTCACTCTCTCTCACACTCTGGTCCTACAGAGAAACCTGGATCCCCCAGCAGCATCAGGCTACTGGATGTCTGGGGCTGCAACGCTGCCCTCGAGTGGACACCACCCCAAGACACAGGCAACACAGAGCTCCTGGGCTACACAGTGCAGAAAGCAGACAAAAAGACAGGGGTGAGGCCCGCTGGAGCAGAGTACGGGGAGGAGGAAGGTCTGACTGGGGTTGGGTCTGTGGGGGAAGAAGTGGCCTAGGTGTCTGGGAAGGCCTGTCCACTAAGAGTCCATGGACTGGACAGCTCTGGTCTGCCTGCCACTAACCTGACTCCCTGTGTGGCTTTTGGCAAATCTCTTTCATCTCTGGGTTTCAGTTTCCTCCTGAAGACTGCAAGGGTGGCTCTCGGAGGCCCTTCAAGCTCTAGAGCAGTGCTTCAGGAAATGTAATGTGCATATGAATTACCTGGGAGTCTTGCTAAAATGCAGATCTTAATTCAGTGGGTCTAGGGTGGGGACTGAGATCCTGAACTTCTATGAAGTTCTCAGGTGATTCTTACTTTGCAAGACCTCGGGCCACACTTTGACCAGTAAAGTTCTAGAACTCTCTAAGGACCCCAGCAAGGTCACATTCTCCCAGGGGTTCCTTCCCCCAATTTAAAGTCCCTCAGACCCAAAGCTGGATGTTTCAGCCTCCCAGGGCTGGGCGTGGAACAAGCCCCTCTGAGGAAGAGGCCACAGGGGGAGCAGGGAGGGGTAGGGCAGGGGGGAGGTGAGGATGACAGGCCCAGGGTCCTTGCAGCAATGGTTCACAGTGCTGGAGCGCTACCACCCGACCACCTGCACTATCTCAGACCTCATCGTGGGTAACTCTTACTCCTTCCGAGTCTTCTCGGAAAACCGGTGTGGACTCAGTGCCTCGGCGGCCGTCACCAAGGACCTCGCCCACATCCAGAAGACAGGTGGGTCTGGGTCCAAGCCCGGAAACCAAGCTAGGTCTTGCCATGCTGACCGTCCTCCCTGTCTCTGACGTTTCCTTGGTGTGTCAGCACCCCTTCCTGTGTGCTTCTCATGGGTGCCCACTTGCCAGAGCTTTTGCTGCCCTCTCCACACCCACTCCACAGCTACCCACACACACACATTCTCACGGCGTGACAGTAAAGAAATGGATATGGTTGATTGATTGTAACAAACACATCAGAGCAAACCCATGCAAATGAGAAGCACCCCTTGGGAGGCTGTGCACTTATTCTAAAGATGCCATATGGCTGCCAACATCATAGCAGTCATTGGGTCTCCTGTGCAGTGTCCCAAGGGAGCTACTGTGAAGGGCAATGTGTGTGGATAGGTAGACTGGTGAGTTTGCTAAAAGCAAACTCCCAACCCTAATATAACACCACATAGATGGACAAGAGAGATATGGGTATTTACTGTCTCTATACAGGCACATGGCCCTCTTGCGTCAAATGTGAAATTCCAAGCCCTTTCTCCCTGTCACCCTTTGTGCTCCAAGGCCCTCCCCCGTACAGTCTGTGCGGGCTGCAGAAAGCACACACTAGCCTGAACTGCACAGAATTAGGAAGAAATTTTCATTTAAAAGAAGAAAGCCAGTCAAGTCTCGAAAGACAAACAGAAATGAAATGTAGAATCCCTGGGTTTTTAGTCTCCACCCTCAGCCAAGATCATCTCATCTGTTTGGTTTTGCTGCCCACTCCCCTCTCTCCTCCCCTCTGTGACTCACCCAGCTGTTGTTTAGGCTTTCCTCTGCCTCTTTGAGACATTCTGCCTCTAAGCTCCGGCATGTTGGCTGTGCCTGGCTTCCCAAAGACCCCAGGAGCCTAGGGTCCTGCCATGGGGTTACAGAGGAGGAGGCAGGGATGAAATGGATTGTCTCCCTCCCTTAATTTTCCTCCAGACCACCAGCTCTCTGCTCAGAGAGCCATAGTCATCACATGACCTTCCATCGCTTAAGCCACAAACTCACTACGTGATATTGGGCAAGTCCCTCATCTATGAAGGGTCTTAGTTTTCCATCTGTCAACTGGGGATGACAAATTTATCCTTGCAAAGGAACGCTGTGTAGATTAAATGGCGTACTGAAGTGTAAGCTGTAGTGATTTTAAGAAAATGGATGAGGTCAGTCTTAAGAGGTTTCCTCCTGTAACCTCAAATTCACCCTACTTTCTCCTTCCAAACCAGATATTGTTGCCAAACCTAAAAGTTTTGTTGAGCGAGATTTCTCAGAAGCCCCCTCGTTCACCCAGCCCCTGGCTGACCACACCTCCACCCCTGGCTACAGCACGCAGCTCTTCTGCAGTGTCCGAGCGTCACCCAAGGTGAGGGGCAGGGCCCTGCTGTGCCCTGGGCAGGGGCACCGGGGTTGAAGAATCTTCCCAGGCATCTTTCCCT